TTAAATCCTACAAAAATTAACTTTTTCAAAACTTAGACAGTTTTTTTTTTTCGGTACATCAAAACTTACGACAGTTTATTTAAAAGAATTACACTCTTTTTACTCAAATTAAAGGTAGTTGGTATCTCTCGATAATTAACAAAAACCCAAAGTTAAAGCCGTCAGCCTGTCACCCCCTTGTCTTGGTGACAGACAGCCCAACTTTGCCCCCTATAACGACACGTTGCACTTTCTTCCCCCCTCAACAGTCACCACCTTTTCCCCGCTTTAGTCATTCCACACGTGCTTCCATCCATTTCCTCGCTGGATTTCCCTCTGAAAACCCCAAGGAAACAACGCGTTTTCCTGTCACTTGCTGAGTAGAAATTCTAACGTTTCCCATCTTTTACTGTTTCATTACAGGACAAAGGGTATCATCAAAGTTTTCATTTTTTAAAAATTTTTTCCCTGTTTTTGATGCATTTTAGTCTGAAACATAGTGGTCAAAACAGAGTGTTATGCTTCCAGCTTGTCATAGCAGTTTGAAAGCCGGTGTTAAGTTGAAAACTATTGTCTTGAGCATGCACAGATTAGTTGGAAGATTTAATTAAGCCTTTATTCCGATAAATTTGTCGTGGTTTCCTAAAGCTAGAAGCTTGAATCTTTTATTTTTTGAATTTGGTTTTTGGGGTGTGATATGGGAGGGGCGACGTCATTGTTAGCGGCGAAATTGGCGTTCTTTCCACCGAACCCACCGTCGTATACGGTGGAGGCAGCGGGAGATGCTGGGAAGCTGATGATGACAGGGGTGGTAGCGAAGGAGAACGTCGACGTTTTAAGGGTGGGGACCAGGAGGGGAAGTCAGGTAGTGGCGGTGTACATCAAGAATCCTGCTGCCGCATTGACTGTCCTTTACTCGCATGGAAACGCTGCTGATCTGGGACAACTGTACGAGCTGTTCGCTGAACTCAGTGCGCATCTCAGAGTCAACTTGATGGGGTCTGTACTAATCAATGAACATTTCAAATCATGCCTCTTAATTATGTTTTCTGCACTGTTTGTTGAAGTCTATATCGGTTTTGTGGTATGCAGTTATGATTACTCTGGGTACGGGCAGTCAACTGGAAAGGTATGGGATTCGATTCTTTTCTCATTTTCCTTGCTTGGTTGTTACTTGGAAGGAAAATGTGGGGTGAAGAAATTGAAAATCTAAACTCCTTGTGTCTTTTCCTCAAATTTATACTTTTGTTGGCTCCTACAATTAAGATTTAGGAACTTAAATGGTTATGGTTTTGTTTGATTTCCTGTATTTTCTTCATAATCATATAGTTACATGATATTGTTTGGAGGAGTTATTTGTTTTTTTGCTTCTTTGCAGCTCCTGAGAATATTCTTAAAAATTTAATTTTTAACTAAATGAAGTACTAGATTTTTCTCTTGAATTTTGAATTTGAGAATGTTATAACACAATTTAGTCACACTTTTGTATGTCCTTTATTTTCTCTCATTTTTAAACTGTCTGGCAGCCAAGTGAGCAAAACACTTATGCTGATATAGAAGCTGTATATAGATGCCTTGGAGAGAAATATGGGGTAAGGGAGGAAGATGTAATCCTATATGGGCAATCAGTTGGGAGTGGACCCACAATAGATTTGGCTACTCGATTGCCAAGATTAAGGGCTGTGGTTCTTCATAGTCCAATCATGTCTGGACTTAGAGTGATACATCCAGTGAAGCGGACTTACTGGTTTGACATATATAAGGTTCATTTCAACTTCTAATGCTGAATTGTATTGGCTTGATTTCTTAGTTGTTTGCAATACCTGGATACTTACTCCACCTTAACTTCTTTTTTTTTTTTGGTTTATGGTGCAGAATGTTGATAAAATTCCATGTGTCAACTGTCCAGTTCTGGTTATCCATGTAAGTATTTCTCCAGTTGTTGGTGATTGTTTAGATTTTAGATACACCTTTGGTAAAAGAGGTTTTGTTATGATTTGTATTCTATATTTACATCTGTAAGAACGAATAATTAAGAACTGTTCTTGGTCCCTTAGTGTTTCTTTCTCCTTCTTTTTGCTTCTCTAAATAATTGCTGGGTTGTGTTGACGTATTTGTGGAATTCCCTTAACTATTTAAATTCAAAATAGATGCAGCTTACATCAAGGATTATCCCCAAATCAAGAATTTTCTGCATATGACATGGCCTAACCTAAAAGTTGTGGTCTTTCTGCTAAATGGCACCTTAATTTTAGTTTGGTGGCAAAGTATGCATCTTCGCATTTAAATTTATAGCTTTTTTAAAGATGTCAGTTCATTTACAATATTGGCAATCTATGGATCATGAGAACCTGCCCTGAACTATGTCTATGAAAGTAATCTGTTTTTAACTGCAATTTTTCTCGTTCATCCAAGCTCTGCTCTGAAAGGTCTAACAAGCCTAATTATACATGTTACATGATAGGATTGGCAACATATGCACCATGAGAACCTGACCTGAACTAGACCTATGAAGTGAAAGTAGTTTGTTTTTAAATTTAACTGGATTTTTTTCTTGTTCATTGAACCTCTGCACTGAAAGGTCTAACGAGCATAATTAGCCCTGCTTGCCAAATATTTAGTGTTAACCCTTGAAAGTTTTAATCTTGCAGTGTGTGGCTATGTTTCTTTAGAAAGTGTTTGTTAATCTTGAAAAAATCATCTATTTTTGTCTGTGTTGGGTGCAGGGAACTGCTGATGATGTTGTGGATTGGTCCCACGGTAAGCAGCTTTGGGATCTCTGCAAAGAGAAGTATGAACCATTGTGGATTAGAGGTGGGAATCATTGTGACTTGGAGCTACATCCACAGTACATCAAACATCTCAGAAAATTCATTTCAACAATTGAGATATCACCTTATCTCAGAAGTAGATCTACCCCAGTTACAG